ACCAATCTGGGCCTCTTGTTCTGTTGAACATGCGCAGTAGGTGCTGGTCTGCAGAGTGGAGCTAAGGGTCGGTGGTTCCCTGCTGCCCGAGGGAGGGTGTGGAGGCTCCTCTCCACTAACTGTGCCTTGGCCAGAACGGCTGAGTATGTCTTGAGCTCTAGAACAAATAGATGCTGTTTGATCTCTAGGCGGAGGCCCCACTAGAACCTCCTAACCTTCCTGCTCTCATCCATCAACGTCTCTGGGAAGTATTGTCCCAACTCCAGGAACTTACGGGTATATTCTGACACCGTCATGTTCCCCTGGACCAACTAGACAAATTCCATCTCCTTCAGGTGTCGGATGTGCTCTAGGAGGTACTTTGCATGGAAGGCTGCTAAGAACTATTCTCAGATGATTGGAACAGGCAGGGTGGTCTGCTTGAGTTCCCACCAGCAGTCTGCTTCTCCCACCAGCATGTAGGTAGCAAGGGTGACCCTTTGCTCTGGAGTCACTTCTAGGGTCTTGAAGGCCTTCTCCGTCTCTACCAACCAATACTGGGCATCTTCAAAGGAGGATTCCCCTGTAAAAGTGGATAGGTTCAGTCTCCTGTACCTCTCTACGTAGCCTAGGTCAATCATGGAAGAAGCTGGGTCCCATGGAAGAGGGACTGGGCCAGGCTAAGGATAAACTAGGGGGCCCTATTGTGGTACTTGCTGGTATGGTGGGGGCACCAGATTATACTGTGGCGGTGCAGGGCAGTATTGCTGCTGGGGCACTGGATTATACTGTGGTGGTGGCACCGGGTGGTAGTGGGGGAGGGTCGGGTAGCTCCCTTCTCTCTTCTTGACCCTGTTGGGCAGCAATGAGTCTCTCCAGCATCTCAAATATTCTGTCAACGTCTTCCCAAAGCGAACCATCTCGAGCTGCTCGGTTTAGTGGAGGTCTTCCTCTTCTCATCTCTCTGCACCTGCATTTCACAAGAAATGGTTGAGTTATGATTCATTGGTTTAGTGTTTCTCTAAGTATCATTGTGTAAGGGACGAGTCTGAGGAACGCGGCTCTGATTCCAACTGTAACGGCCCCGAAAATTTAAAAGGAAATGTATATAAAGAATATGAGTGCGGAAGCGAAATAAAAAGTTCTGATTAATATCCCTTACACAATAACTTAAACGTACTAACAATATCAAAAAATAAGTCCTCTAAAGGAAATACTAGAAATGAAAGACTATAAGGAAACTAATAAACAACTAGGCATCTACTCGCCGTCTTCTTGTAGATCGGGCTCGGGAACAAAGTACTCCTAATCTGAAATGGTTAAGTAAGGAATGAGCTACACTAACCCAGTAAAGACATCACACTATATTATCGTCACAGAAGTAAAGGTTGGTAGAGAACCAAAAACAACCAATGGAGCACAATTTTGAATAAATTCATTTATCAATAATCAAACCATTTATCGTCCACTTACCTCAGTGAGATTTATAAAAATAACTCATGGAAACAACAACATCATAGATATCATGAATTCATACATAATCTAAAACATAGTACATGTCATACTTTTATATTTCAATTATCAAATAACAGTTGCCCCCTTTTTATCAGCCTATTAATATCTATGGGGATCCATAGAGGTCTCTGCTACACGTGAACCATTCCCTTAACAAACTTAATTTTCGGGGCCGTCCCCATACCCTGTCCGGTATGAGCGCCAAAACATTTAAAGTCTCCATACCCCATCCGGTATTGGACAACGTTCTCGGTAGGATTTCCTATGGACCCGGTCCGTCCACCATCTCCTAGGATATCTAGTGAGGCTGTTAACTTATCCATTTATCAATTTACACCCCTTTCATATTATTTTTTAGTTTTTCGTTTCTCACATAAATATGAATACTAAAGCAATTAACGAGTATCTAATAAGGCAAGCATATCATTAAATTCACAAAATCAGCCAAAATGAAATAAGCAGTGATTCATACATTCAAAATCATAGAATAAAATAAATTAGATACCATAATGCATTTAAACTATAAAATAAATCAAATAAGAATTGACAGAGAAATATGTCCGATTCGGGCTCCATTAGCAACTGTAATTAATTATGCATATTTACTCAATTTGTACAAAATACAGTTTTATCATTTATTCAGACTTCAATCCTGTGATAGGAAATAGGATGAGGGGTCCTTATCTAATTCGACGTCGAAAACCGAATTTGCACTGCGCCTGCGGGCAGTCCCTGGATTTCTTGAATTTTTCTCCGGGAACTGAAACGCACTTACGGTACCTACACATGTCCCAAATAACTCAAAAATCAAACCCAAGGCCTAGTCGACCAATTTTGGAATTCCAGCACGGCAGCTCCGTCGTGCTCCGGCGACGGCTCCGCCGTTCACAGCGGCGATCCATCTCGGGTTGGCTGTTTTCGGCCGAATTCAACAAAACTTTCATTGGTTCTTGTGAGAAAACACTCATAGGGCCTTCGGTGGGCTGAAAAAAAATACCAAAAAGTGAAACTTACTGGCGGTGAGACTCTCCGGTGCGGCGGCTCCTCTGGCTCGAGTCGCGATTTGGTGTTTTGCTCCGATCAACATGTAGAGAAGGGAACAATGGTCACAACGGTGAAAAAATTATATCGAACAGGAATCGGGAAGGGCCTCATCAGAGGCAAAAATTGAGAAAACCTGCGGCGGCGCCGTTGGGTTTTAGCGGCATTTTCCGGCCAATTAGCTGGTGTTTTTACTCTAATTTGGCCATAGGTGGGTTCAGCATCAAATTCTGAGCCAAGAGAGAATTTTTACCTCGTTTGGCGGCCGAAAATTGCTCCGATGCGGTGGCAGGTGGCGACGGTCGGCTCCCTGGCGGCTAGACTGTCTTCTCCGGAGAGGGGCTCTAGCGGCTAGGGTTAGGGTTTGAGTGCGGATGAGATTATTTATAACCATCCGCTCTTAATCTGAGCCGTCCATCGCGATTCAATTTGGACCGTCCGATCGCGATTAAATAGAAAACGAATCTGGGCCGTTCATCGCGATGCAATTTGGGCCGTCCGTGCGTGTTTTTGATCTAAACCGTTCGTACGCGCGGGAACGGATCTCAACCGTTCGATACTGCGCACGCGGATCGCCCACGTGGCTCCCTTTCGCGTGGCCTCCCGCGTCAGCGTCTCTGCCACGCGGCGTGTCCTGGTTGGCCGGGGCTGCTGACCAGACTGCTGATGTGACACAATTTTTCTAAATTGCGTTTTGATATCCGATTTTCAATTTTCTTTTCAAAATATCCAAAGAACCCAAATTTTCATTCATTTTTCTCAAAATTGTTTTCAATTAAATTTCTAAATAATTTTACTCTTTTTTATGATGATGATTATTATTTTTTTATTTAAATAAATTAAATTAAATTACAACCATATATTATTACATAATAAATTATTACATTCATATAATAATTATAAAAAATTAAAATAAAATAATAATAATAATAAAAAATGAAAAGGGTTGGGGTGTTCACAGAGAGTGGTAACAAGTAAAACATACGAGGATAATGCTGAAGCTTGAAACTTTTACACTTTAGTTACTCAGAAGTTCATCTCTTAGTAGACGTGAATTAGGCTTTTATGGTAAATTTATTTTCCCCTCAGTTTTTCTCCTCTGTTTTTCCTTCTGGTTTCTTTCTTTCAGTCCAACAAACACACAGAACCAACAAATATAATATAATTATAAAAGCATTCACAAGCTCTAACAAAAAATTCAATTAAACCCACGTCGCAGATGATCAGTTTTTATCAAACCCAATCAGGTTTTCTAACTTAATTCAAGAATAAAACTCAACCTACATCATTACACAATACTTTCCTCATCTCCCACATCGATTCGACAAACCGGGCACGTCCCTTGTTGCCGAAACCATTGTTGAAGACAATAAGGATGATAAACATGGCGGCAGAGAGGAAGAACCGCACACATATCTTCTCCTTCAAACTCCTCCAAACATACTGCGCAATCATTGCAACTCTCCACTCTTTCTTCACCTCCACAAATATATTCCTCAAGCTCCGAAAAAGGAACCAGCCAAACTACCACGTATCGTTCTGGGATTTCTTCAATTTCAGCTCCCGTGGTTTCTACAGGGAAATCTGAACGGTCAAAGTCCCTCCGTTGACGATCATGATAATCATCGTATTCTTCCTCTTCGTCACTAAAGCCGGGGAATATTGATCTGATGTACTGGGAAAAACAATATCCAGTAGGACCAAAACAGCAGGACCTACAATGATAATAGCTACAATTGATAAATCCATCCTTACAAATTTCTTTTCTTGCTCCAGTATAATATGCATGTGTGTGTGTGTGGTGTGTGTATATATATATATTCAGGTTTCATGATTGGAGGAGAAGAAGGACGAAGTATCAGAATCAGTTTCGCAATAGGAAATTAATCAGACGTAACTTAACAGAGGGAGAGAGGCGCGAAGCGAAGATCTCTCGTTCCACCGAACCGACCCGAACCGACCCGATCCGATCCGACGTCGTATAATGTAACATTTTATATTTCACAATAATATTTTTAATAAATCCAGTTTACTAATTATAACGAAATAGAGTGATTTTCTTTTTCTTTTTCTTTTTATTTTTTCAAATAAATAATATAATTTTATATTAGTTTTCCATACAAATAATCAAAACATAAAACTTTAAAAATAAAATTCAAGTATATGATAAAAATTTTTAAAAAAAATTAAAAAGAAGATAAAAGTGTTAGAATGGTAAAATTAAAAAAAAAAAGAAAAATTGAAAAATAAGATTAAGAAATTGTATTAAATAACAAGAAATTATTTAAAAAATAAAATGAAAAAAAAATTAATTACATAAACCAATTAAAAGTAACTAATAATAACTACCATGAAGAGTTTAAACGACACCGTTTAGTTGAGTAGTGTGTGCGTATGTGTGTGTGTGTGTGTGTATATATATATATATATTTTTTTTTTTTTTTGCTCTCAAAAAATATATAATTTACTCCTCTGGATAGTGAAGCGCTCAGAGACTTGAGCTGGAGAAGAGGAAGCTGTTCACTGCTGCTAGAAGAATCCCAGAACTCATTAGATTTGGTGCTTGAAGGGGTGGATTTTCGAAACTTAAGAACGGGATATATTTTCTGTTTTGCTCCACCTCTTTGCCTAACATTTTCAACTGAGACATGTCTTTCTTCTTTGGTTAAATCGGCTGTGGGGAAGTTTAGGGTTTTCTTTTCTTGGGGGTTGGTTGTCGATTCGTGGTCTGAAGGAGTATCATCCTTTTGGGAGTTTCACGCTGGCTATGGACTACGAACCATACGATAGCAGTGGTGAGTTCACTTTCTTTAGGATTATTTCCTTGTTGATTTTTGTTTTCTTTGATGAATTTAGGGTTTAGTGGGTGTTTATTTTTGTTTCTAGCTTTATATTTCTTGTGATTTTATTGAATTATTGTCATTTGTTGAAGTTCTACCCAAGGCAGAAGATCTGGGTTTTGAGATTTGAATTGCGTTCTTTAATTTAGAATTTCACTATTTATTTAATAATTCCTTTTATCTGAATTTTTTGGTGGATGCTGGATAGAAATAATATGCTCGTCAATTCTAAATTGTTAGCTTTTACTCTCATTTCAAATGAGTTCAATGCAGTTTTTAACCTTAAAAGCAGCCTTAAACAGTTGGAAATAATTGGCTTTTTGTTGGCGTTCTAATTGCTTTGGATTGTTTTTGAGTCTGAACTTGAGAGCTGCCCCAGTGTATTCCGAAGTTTAAGTTGGTTTTTGATTTGGAAAGGATCAAAGTGCGTAACATCTTATTTTGAAGAACTACACGTCGACACGTCATTATTATAACCTCTCACAATTTAGTGCTCCCTTTCCCTTGCAATGTTCAAGGTGTTCTATGACTTGTGCTGAAAAGTTATAATCTTTGGATGCGGGACAATTAGTAAAACTATCATATGAACATTCTGATTTTCTATGTTGAAAACATTTTTAAGAACTGCTTAGTGAAATCGTTAACTTTTATATATTATGCATCTTAGTTTAGTCTATTCTAAGTAGGTTTCAGCCAATTGTGGATCTCCAAAGTGCTTAACAAAATTGAGGTCAAATGTTAAGTCATAACCTGTTAAATTAAAAGTGAGGTCAAGTTAAATTGGCATAGTTCAAGGCTTTCCATTAAGTCTTCTTGGGAGGAGGAAAAAAAAAAACCTTCGTTGGATATATTTTTATTTATGGGAATCACTTAAGCGAGAACAAATCCAAAAATTTTATATAATTCCCTTGCAAATCCATACTTCAATTGGTGGATGATGCAAATCCTTTTTGAAATGATAAAAAATAACCTCATATGGTATGCATTGTTCCAGTTCCATTGAAGTTAATTACCATCTTCTTGTAGAATTTGCATCCTGTCATAGTTGGAATAAGTATGGATTTGCAAATGAATTTCAAATTTTTTTTGGATTTTTTACAAATATAGCTTTAGTCTAAAAGGTGGATGAGTGACTGCCATCACCGTGCTGTTAAATTTATTTTCTTGAGTTGAAAGAAGTTGACTTTTATATGTGTTGACAATTTCATCAATCACAAAATTGTTTGAAACCTTTTTTGGAATGATATCTTATTTATTTCACATTCTTTATCTCACCGACATGTTCTTTTATCGATATCTATACTTATTATGCATTGCGAGAAGTGGCTGATATTGAAATCTAATGGCATTGAATGATTTTACTATAGTGTTTTGAAATCTGATGGAATTTAATGATTTTACTTCAGTGGTTTGTTGAGTTTGATAAGAATTAAAAATTATAGGAATTTCAATCCAATAAAAGAACCATCAGACATGAGTATCGTGGCAGTTTTGGCCAAACTTTTACTAGGGGTAGTGTTAATGGTCTTTATTTATTCAATGAACAGCATATAGCTTTGGCGTCAATTTTACCTTAGGCAAATAACCTTTCTGCTTCTCCTATATTGCAGAACATTCCAGTTAAGCTGTCAACTATCATCTAATTTGTTCTTTTCATCTTGTTGTTTGCTCTAAAATAATTTTAGGAACTGATGATGACCTACCTCCATTGCATCAAAATAGAATTCCTAGAGGAGGACGAGTTGCAGGAAATGGAAGATCTGCTGTTGCTCCTGTCCCATACCCACGGATGTACGGTGAGACTGATATGGAGACACAAATTCACCAACTTGAGCAGGAGGCGTACAGTTCAGTTCTCAGAGCCTTCAAAGCTCAAGCTGATGCAATTACTTGGGTACTTCTTGACATTTTATTTCTTGAACCTAATATCCGTAAATTTTCGTTATCAGGTTTAAATAACAGCTACATGAACTTGTTTTCATCAGGAGAAAGAAAGTTTGATAACAGAACTTAGAAAAGAGTTGAGATTATCAAATGAGGAGCACAGGGAGCTTCTAGGCCGGGTTAATTCAGATGATGTTATACGGAGAATAAGGTCTGGTTGAATTCAACTAATTGTCATTATTGTAAGAAGCATAACATATTAGGAAGATTTTTCCAAATGCTTTCTTTTAATTAATTCTTTTTCTTTTCTTTGGATGCAATTAGGGAGTGGAGACAGGCAGGTGCGCATCAATCTGGTGTGCTTAATACTAGTCAATCTGTTCATGACACGCTTCCCAGTCCCACTGTCTCTGCATCTCGCAAGAAACAAAAAATCACTCAGTCATTACCTTCTCAATCTTTCGGTGGGCCTTCTCCACCTTTTCATACTCAACCAATGGCTCCATCACACCAGCCATCATCATCAGCTGCTAAAAGAGGATCTGTGACAGGACCCAAGGGCAAGAAGCATAAGCCAGTGAGTTAAAAATTCTTGAATTTGGGTATGAAATAAAGGTTGTTATCAATGGCTGGCTTGATCATTTATTTCCATTCTGTTAAATTCTTTTGCTGCAGGGTCTACCTGCTGCCTCTTCAATGAAGTCCATGCCATACCCAGCCTCTGGTGCAACTGGTAGAAGTGCAGTTGCTAATAGAGTGTCATCTGGAGCAGCCCTTTTGAATGAAACTACTGAAGGGACAGCATCTGATCCCTTGATTGGAAGGAGAGTGAGGACCAGGTGGCCAGATGACAATAATTTCTATGAAGCTGTTATTACCCAGTACAACCCAGTTGAGGTATGTGGTGCTTGATCGCACATAAATAACAAAATCTCTCACAATGTTTTAGCCTTTTTTCTCTGTCTGCATAATTTTTTCGATTGATTATATATTCTTTTTATCTTTTTTTATCAGGGAAGGCATGCCCTGGTATATGATATTGGCACTGCCAATGAGACATGGGAATGGGTTAATCTCTCAGAGGTAAATCATGTTCTGTCCACATGGCTTGGAGTACTTCGTGACAACTATTATGTTATTGTGCTTTTGGCAATGAATTATGTATATATCCAGGACAAGTTTATCATTGTTAATATATAAGGATTATTTGTTCAATAGGTTGCTTTTAAAGTTTTTTTTTTATCTCATATTTAACTCATTCTATAACTTGTCAGGATACTCATATTCAATGCCATCAAGTTACTTGCTGATTCAATTGGACCCAAATTAGTCATCATGGCAGTAACTACCGTCTAGATTTAACTGTTTATACAGTTTGTAGGCATCAAAAGTGGCATGCATTATACTTTTTATTTGCTAATGAACAGTTCTGTACTTTATGCAGTTGAAATTATTTATAGGTGACAATTCCAAGATGAGAAGGTATTCTTGAATAGCCATAATATGCACTATCATTTTTTTTTGTGGGGATAAAAGAAGTATTTCTTAGAGAAGGAAAAGAGAAGAGTGCATCTGTAGAGGATAAGAAATCTTTTATTTAGTAGAAAAAAAGTACTATTAGGATAAGAAACAAAAGCTACAATGGCAGAGGATTAAAAAAGAAACCCTTCTGACCGAAGAAAAGAAAGAAGAAAGAGAAAAAAGGAAAACATTGTCAATAAGCACTGCCTTGTGTCTTTAGAAAATAGGCATCCCTATAGTGCAGTCGATTTTCTGTTCAAGATATTCAACTATAGGTCTTTTCTTTTTGATAATACAACTATAGATCATTCATATGGCCCTGGGATTTGCAATCCAAAATCTCTTGGAGCCTGGTCTTGTTCGAATGGACTGACCAAAACTAGGAAGCTTTCAGGTTTTAGTGCATTTCTTTTCGTCGAGGGAAGTCTGAGCAAATTAGCAACCCTGTACATAGACCTATACCCAGACAGAGACATATGGTAATTCAAATTCCCACTCTCTGCTATCTAAAAGCATTCTCAGCTGGTAGGAGACACTAAATTTGGTGTTGATCTCATGGATTTCACATTTTAGATCTGGTATTTTAAATGGCTTGCATAAAATTCGGTAGGAGACACTGAATTTGGTGTTGATCTCATGGATTTCACATTTCAGATCTGGTATTTTGAATGGCTTGCATAAGATCCGGTATAATAAATGCGCATTCTTGAGCTCCTATCTATTATGCAACTATGTATGACGTGTTAGCTGACAAGAGTTGTTTAAAAACTGTGGATTATATTCTTAACTCTTGGGAAATGGAATTAAGTTGCCTTCTTCTTTTGTTGGTTTGTTGGTTTTTTTTTTTTTTTTGCCAATATAAGATAAGAAGACTCTATTTAGAGATGAAAATAATACAAGGAGGGTGTAAAAAAACCAAGGATAAGATATCCTCCTAAAACAGCAAACGCAAAAGAGTAGAATAAATAAGCAAATAGAAACTAGAAAAAGAAATGTCAACAAAAAATGCTGCCTAATCTCTTTGCATCATAGACAAAGGTAACTTAAGAGAGCTATGCTCCTGGACCCACAAAAAATCCAAGAAGACCATTATCTCCCGAAGATAGTGTGATGGCCGGAAACACTTGTGAAAAATCCTTCAATTCCAGCACCCAGTGAACAGTGCACCTCTGAGAAGAATCTTCACAATATGCTTAAGATAACTAGAGAAGAAAACTTCTAATGTCACCTGAAAAATCCAGAGATTTCCAGAAACTGCAAAAAGTTTTATGCCAAAGCTGCCACACTGAAATGCTGTGTAAAAACAAATGACTTGTTTCTTGGAAACTAATTACAGATGTAAGGAGATACAGCCCTATATGGTTTCAGGCCAGTAACATATCATTTTTGTTAATCCTAACCAGTTGTGCTTTTAACCTATTGTACTGGCTACAGCTATCTTAACTTGCCTTTGCAAGCCCCTTGACAATTATGATGGTGTTTAAACTCATGGATGCCTGTATCTACAGTGATAGCAGGAGAAAAGACTCGTCTATCTTATTCCCTTGGCTAACTTGTGGATCATTTGGAAAAAGAGGAATGAGAAGGCCTTTGAAGGGGTTGCTTTCCCCGTTGATAGATTAAGGGATTCATGGTTCCAGAATCTTTGTTTTTCCTTTTAAGGATCATCTTCTTATTTTTTATGAGGATCTGGGGGATCTCATAAACGTTTTGACAAATTTGTAATTTCCTATTTCTCAAATGGGTGGCATCCCCTTTATATCTTGTTTATATATTTCTTTTTCTATACAAAAAGGAAGATTTCTAAAATTGTTGATTCATATGTATATTCTTTTCTAGAAGTAGAGAAAGAATTGGATCCTGCCCTTTTTATGATGATAAGCTTTCCTTGTGAAGTACTTTGTCTCCAAGTTATTCCTTCCCTTTTGTAGGTAGTTCTACTTCTAAATGACCATCCTACCTGCTTATGAGAAGATACAATTGAAGTTAGTGCAGTTGTATCTTTCATTCTTTCCTTACTTTGGTGGTATCTTGAGGAAAACTATGTTTTGTTGTTTCAAAAAAAAAAAGAAAAAAAAAGAGAAAACTATGTTCTGGATCTCCATGTGTCAACTGGAATGCAATGAAGAAAACTGCTTTTCTTTTGCTTCACGGCAATGATTTGGGGCTTAAGTTAACTTCAAATGTTGCTTGTTTTTTCTGGTGCTCATGTTAAAATGTTACATAAGTTACTGAAGATTTCTTACAGTTACATTGTTCGTTTCACACGATATTCGGCTTTTTGTTTGTGCTGTGTTTTTTACACAGTAGAGAGACATATTACAGACACAAACACAATATGTTTGTGGGTAATTTATCTGGTGTTTTCTATTGCAGATCTCTCCAGAGGATATAGAGTGGGAAGGAGAGGACCCTGGAATTTCTCATCGAGGTGGTTATAGCGGACCAGGTCATGGAGTAAATAGATCTGTAGGCCGTGATAGTGTTCCAGGTACAGGAAGAGGAAGAGGTGTTACAAAGGTTTCATCTAGAAAAGATTTTTTGCCGTCACAGAATGGAATTGGTAAGAAGTCGCTAGAAGATATACAAATTCGTCATACAGATACTCTAATCAAGGAGGTTAGTGTTTAACAGTATCAGGAGTTTTTTCTTTTTTTGTTTTTTTTGAGTGTTTACTTGATCAACATTCCTACTAATGGTTGCACTGCACAGGTGGAGAGGCTTTTTGGTGCAAATCATCCCGATCCTCTCGAAATTGAGAAGGCGAAGAAAGTGTTGAAGGTTAGAAGAGCAGCCATACTGTGCACTTTTTTTCTGAACTCTATTCCCCAGTTTTCATTGAGGATATTTCTTGCATTTTTCTGAAGTTGCAAAATTGACTTTTGCAAAACTGATTTACTGTGTTTCACAATGTAGGACCATGAACAAGCACTCATTGATGCAATCGGAAGGCTGGCGGATATTTCAGATGGTGAAAGTGGTATTGATGATCCATTTTTCATTATTCATGACAGCTTTATCTTGTTGCATTTTGTTTCACATTTAGAATGTCTATTTATCAGGAGCCTATTGCTAACGTGATGCTGTTACATTAAGAAAAAAAATTGAAAATAAAAAACATTGAAATTCCATTGCATAGTATAAATGAGGATAACATGACCCATAGCATAAATATAATCTTGAGCTTTGTACTGTTTTTTTATTCGATTTATCATTAATTCATTTACCACATGTCACCAGATTTGGCACGTGACATTATTTGATTGGGTAGCATCTGACGTGTGAAAATAATTAAATTTGAAGTTACTTTCTGATCGAGAGAAAGAAATTAAAAAAATAAAAAGACATGAAAGAAAAAAAAATCCTTCCTCTGATCAAACACGAGGTTGTGGGTGTGTGAGGTCTGTGAGCAGGCGCAGCGGGCTCATGGCACCTGCAAGGCTGATGCCACCGCCCTTTGTGTCACCTGTGCAGTCAAGCACAACACTGCAGCAGCTGCTGTCTACTTCCTCGACAAGTGCTGCTTCCCTGATGTCAACAATGAGCTGACATCAGCAGGGAGGAAGCTAAGGCAACATCATGACTTCTGTCGAATCCCGACACAAAGCAGTGGCAGGGAACCTTGACCTGAATACAGGGAAATTGATATTCTCAGGCATGGATCTGTATCTGGATCTTGATTACGGGCCGGTTGATCCGGAAACTGGTGGCCCAAGAACAGTACGGTGCCAGAACAGATGGGGTGGTTTCAGAGCAGAGCAAGATTATGCAGGCTCCATTGGTGAATAGGCACTGCTTCGACTTGGATTTTCCCGGATTCAAATCTTCCTGTAGGGGTACAACTCTCACTATCTCAGTCACGGTGTAAGCTCTCTTCTCCTATTTGCTTTTTTCGTACACTAATTGCAGTCGCACGTGATGCAGAAATGGCAACATCGGCCTTGCAGGTCAAAAGAGAAGGGGCAAGTTTAGTCATGGGAGTTGACCAGGGAGATGGGTCGGAGAAATAGGGAGGATTTTTTTTTTGGTTTCATATTTTTAATTTAATAATTTTTCTTGGTATTAAAAAACAATTAAAATTAAATTATTTTTACACATAACATGTTGCAAGGTATCAAATGTGAAAAATACCCAATCAAATGACATTACATGTATAATCTGGTTACAAGTGACAAATGTGTTAATGAGATTAGTAAAAATTAACAGAGGGAGGATTAATACGAAAGATATTGAAAGTAATAAGAATTAAAAGAGCAAAAAGTTTGTATAAGGATCAAAACAAATAAAGTGAATAGTACTGAGATCAAAATAATGTTTAGATCTTTGTTAAAATTATGTGAGCATAAGCTATCATAATAATAATTTGTTCAATTCCTTGGAATTTATATTATGCGCCATTTACAGTTGAAAGTGTTGTATATTCTTTCCAAATTCATTGTTAGGGAGTTCAGTGACCTTGTTACATAAGATTCTTATGTTCTTAGATCATGAATCACTTGATATGGATGATCCATGCTGATGTTTTGCTCTTCTCACAGATGAGGGTGGCCGGCAGTTTTCACGTGGACTGTCAATGGACCAAGCGTGATGAGGAACCAATTTTTTGTAGGAAGCAGAGTTTTTTTTATTTGGGTGGGAGTAAAAATGGCTGGTGGATTGAGCTAACATGTTGGCAAATGATAATCTTTGAAGAAAATTGAAGGGAAGAAACCCATCTGCTCCCATTACTGTAAAATTGAACAGTTAGAATTGTATAATTTCCATGTCCTGACTGCATTATGGCCAACATGAGTGGCTTGGATAGTTATTATTGCAAGGTGGGGATTATTTATTTTGTAGCAGGGTGCTAACTTCTTACTGATAAAATCCCCACTTTCAAAGGGCTGATGATTTTGTAAACTTTGTTTGATTAATAATAGTGCGTGATCATGTGTATTTTTCTCTGAAAGTTCTCTCAAAAAGAGAATCTCTTATTAGGGAATTCTACCCCTCATGAAGATAATTGCTAACAGAGTAATCATGGGTGAGTTAACTTGGATTGAAACAGTGAAATCAATATATATAACTCACATCAAATATACCCAAAAGATGAAAACAATTTTGTATATGTGATTAACAAGTAATACTGCTTTGAAAAAATTAAAAAAAAACTGCTGCTCCTTACTCAGATTTTTCATATTGACAAGTTTCTGGCTGTGGCTATTGTAGGACCAAACAAATCTGCAAGATTAATGTCTCCAGTAATGAAAGCAGTTACCACTGTTCTTTACGGTATTTTTTCTACAGATTCTTGCCGCCCACATCTCAAATTTACTTGACCTTTGAGATGTCCTACACTGTTTTTAATCTATTTGACACTCAACCGTAATAGAGAAAGGATTGCTGGTTTATTTTATGAGTCCACAGTCTTTTGACAAACAATTAGGAAACCTGCCTGTGGGTGTATAATGGCATACGCACCAAGCAAATCAATAGGTTGATTTGATTAAAAAAAGGAATTAAATGAAATGAATCAAGTGAGATACATGCTATAATTCTCAATTAGAAAAACCTACAACCTTTAGATTTTATTGCTTATTATTTGCCAGAGCTTCCACCAATCTGTTTTATGAAGTTCTAAAATCTAAGATGTCCACTTACATTAGAAACTACATATGGTATATGTGTCCACAGTCTATCCCCAAGGTGGTAATTCTGAATGCTGGTAGAAAATTAGAAACTCATAGAACAGTATAGAAGGAGACAAATGAAGAGAACCATTATATCTACATGTAATATATAGTAAAATATTATCATAAATTTATTTATTTAAAAAAAAAAGGTAATTGGTAATAAACTAATAATCTCTGTAGATTATAGAAGCATAAATCTCAGCAGAAAAGCTCTATAATGAAGGGTGTTGGAGATCATCCACAACCTTAGTAGAAGGACAGAAGGTGATGACATACACTTTTGAAGCACAGTTTACAAGAGTAGGTGGCATGTCAAACGCATAACTATAATAACTTGGACAAGCTTCCTTGAATATCTTTGAGTACAAGTTAGGCTTGCATTTTTCAGGGCTGCCGTACTCATTTCTGCAACAAAACGAGTCCGTATCAAATGCTAAACACGCACTCTTGCACGCCACAATCTCACCATTCTTGTTCACAACTTGAAGTTCCCGTGGACAAAAACTTTTCAGGTCCTTATGGCACCCGGGAATACTGCACTTGGCCAATATTGGTTTGGTCGTGACAGAAACTGGCAGGTTATAACCGTCAACAAGGCTAATGTCGTAGAAGTTTGGCTTGGTTTTGTCTGCTTGCAATGCTACTTCGATGAGTGTAACTGGTGGTGTGCCAATCAGGCCATTGCAAGCGAGTCTACCATCACAGTCCCCTGTTTCACAGGCAGAGTTCCAGCTGTTTGACTCAAAGTTACAGCCAGTTCTGGCCCAGATTCGGCCATTCCATGTCCAAGGGGCATCAATACATTGAGTCAGCCCAGGAGGGAGATAGAAACCACCATCAGCAATCACCGAGTGACCTGTGTTTGGGGCAGTTGCTGGCCATATGGGAAATGAGCATTTGTTATGCACATAAAAAGTTACCTGATGCCCCCCTGCCAACATTAAAGCTTTTGGTCAGATTAAACTGTCTATAAAACAGAAAAATAATGTGAAGGTGGCACCAAACAGGATATATAGATATTGAAACAGGAAATCCAATGTTCATTCATGTGCAAATCAGCTAACCAGAAAACATGAAATGACATGTAAGGAAAAGAGAAAGAGTAGCAATAACTTCTGGGAACTTCATCTTGAACTTAGTAATTTAATTAAGAACTGCTATATATATATATATGTTATATATATGGGTTTCTGTTTCTTCGTGTTCAAGCGTACTTCTAAAATTTGATGTGGGCAAATCTTAAGAGACAAGGGAAGTAGACTGATCATGTTCCTCTCACAATCTAGTCTTGCAAGAAAAATTAAAACGACAGACGGAGAATTGCAGAAAACGCTTGAAAACATAATAATTCATGCATTGCTTTATGAGGGGAAAAGTAGGATTAAGAGCCACGTATTTACATTACATCATACGTAACTACCAAATTGCAGGGAAGTGAGTATTCCTTAAACTCTGGGTTAAGGATAATCCATGGGAAGTTCTTCAAGCGAAATTGGGAGGCTGCAAAAGTAATTAAATGGCATCGTATAACTGTTACTTCTTACAAATCATGAGTTACAAATCTAATTATTTGAAGTAGTTAGTGAAAATAACATTCTCAAAATTTTCATGATAATTTCCCACAAATTTAGAGAGAGAACTTTGAGAAACGACTGGTGAAAAAGCTGAAGGAACTGCAGAAACACATGTACTACTTTCATTACAGGGTTTATCATTTGAATAAACTTGACTTGTGGTCTTCAAGCAACACTTATTCAAACATGAAACCCCATAATTAACTCTCTGATTCTATTAAAAAGTTAATGCCTTTGAGGTCTTAGATATTTACAGATGCACTATATCCCAATGATATTAACAGCAGTAACTTGCCTCTTATGGCTTTTGGCTTTCCCATATATTCAAATCCAAAAAATCAATATTAATGGTCCCTGAATTGATCATTCTTGACTCTATCTTGGACTCAGTTGTAGTTATGATTGTGATACAAGAAAAGGTTACATAATATTTCACTGATATAACAGAGTTTTTGTCAGTAGCATTCCTTGAAAATAAGCAACAGTCTAAATTCAAAAGCATCGGCTTCCAATCACCAGATTGATCATGTATAATCCCTTAACCACATCTACATAATTAATTGTCCCCTCAACAATCAATGCATCATTTACAATAAATCGGCAATAACTATCTTTGACATCAGACAGCACGATGAAATTTCTGAAGCCAAAGCTTGGGTAAGATGCATTAAACCAACTAGAACCTGCATACAGTACATTGGACAAACAGCAAAAAATTAATTTGTTGATGATGAACGCACTTTGTTGACGATAAATATAACAAAAGAGTTTAATGAAAGCTAACCTTTCTCCTCATTACCGTTTCCATGAAGTTGATCCTTAACGCAGAGAATATACTCTGCTGCATATATTTTCCATCCTGGAAGGCATCTGTTGTGGTCATGTAAAGATAGAAAAAGAGAGAGATTGGACTCCACTTGCATAATTTCCTCCGAGATAAAGCCGCAACTTCCTGCATTTTCAATAGAAAGAGATAAGAAGCAAGCTAACAATAATAATACATAAAATTAAAAGACAAAAGGTGGCACGTACCAGTCACACCCACCGGCAGAAAAAACATCCAGAGTCCAATTTGTACACATCTAACTCTAAAAAGTTTTCAATTCCCAATGAAAATTTACAACTGTCAGGGACTGTTTTTATAGACAAACATTCTCCTTTAGCTTCCCACTTTTGAACAAAAATCTCAACCCCAAAAACAAAGCAATCATTGATAAGATAGTCTTTAGAAGGATCAATGAATGTACTAAGTGGAAGTAGCCGAGGAAAATCATACTCTCTTTTTAGAGCATGAGAAAGCCGAGCTTTTTCACCTTCGATTCAAAAGGCTTGTCAAACCTAAGAGACTCAAGGAAAGGTTGAGAATAAGAATTGAAGGGTAAGATATAAGACACCTTGAATCGTCAAGAAATTGTCCCTGAGATGATCATATACAAAAAACTTAACATTCACTATGATTCCAGAAGTGGGTGGGTCTACCATCAGCAAATAGAGGGACATGTGATCATTCCCAGATCTTTTGCGATCTCCATTTGGGTAAAGTGATAACCTCCTGAAAATAAACAAAAAGAACAAGTATAAAGCTTTTTCTTCCAAGTAATGGTATAGAGAAACAATTGAATAATATAAGCCTACCATTTGTAATCATTAGCTTCGAACTCACTGGTTTCGTAGTTATCAGTACCATTAGTTGCTGAAAATTTTTTCGAGAGTAAAGAGAATGATTCGACTCTGAATATGTAGTGCTCTGGTGCTGAATCCCTCACTGGTCCTGAAACTTCTATCAATAGCATTAAGAACGTTGAGATTCTATATAAATTAAAGGATGAATTGATTACATTACCATCTTCTGCAATTACCAGATTCAGATGTGGAGTTGTGGCTATTCTGAGCATTACCTGATTCAGTTGTGGGAATTTGGGTATTCTGAGCATTACCCATGGCAGATAGTTCTTAGTTTGGCAACTGCTACTAGTTTTCCTGATATAAATACATTTGTCACGCAATGGGAATGACTAATGCTTTAACCTTCTAACTGTCTGCAGCATTTTCTATAAATCCACACTTATTCAAATTCAAAAATTCATCAAACCCAAAAATCTAATTCCTTAAAATTAGATGGAGCCTTTGAGCTCTTCCATAAAAATCATACTGTTATCATCATTAATTTAATTACGAACTTTTGACCTCCACAGCGGTTTCCAAAACCTTGTAATAGCAGTAAATTGTTTCCATGGCTTTTGGATTTCCTATATATCCAAGTCCCAAAGCAACAATAACAGAAACCATGTTGAATATGTACTTTAATGATGGAGCTATTTGAGAGCAGATGAATAGCACATGCACTTGGTGATTCTAGATTTATTGAAATTCCTCTCCATCTCAAGTATAGTAGATTTCAAGAGCTCAATCCTTCATAAATTTATCTGTCAGTGCTGACAAGAAATATAACATAAAAATTAATGAAGGCTCACAGAGCTTATACTCTGCATTATATTCCCCACCCTCAAAAGGAATTTGGAACAGTTGTCTAAAGCTAGAAAGAGAGATAAGAGAGTTGTCTCTACTAATTTAATCTCCTCAGGGATAAAGCTGCAATGTCCTTCATTTTCAATAGAAAGAGAGAACCAACAAAACAACGATCATTATGCCCACACTTTAAAAGTAAATTATAAATTTAAAATTTAGAATGTTACTATACCTGTGTTTTCGAAAAAGAATTTTAATTGTGTCCATCATGCATTATGGGGGGAGTCCAGCCTCATTGGCACTCTGTTTTCATGTTTTCGGTGTTGGGAGTCTGGCCTTATTGGCAACTTGTGTCTATTCATAATATAGTTGGATGATCATATGTTGTGCTCTCCATAATAATGATAAAATTTTGGCTCATTGTAAAATGTAGCAATGTGAATCTGTTTCTCTGAATTAACAGACATATATTTGAAAATGTAAGATGTATGTATACTTTGAATTAAGAAAATGTTAATGCTACATGTGTATAGTATTCTACATGAAAATAGAATGGTATGATGTTATAGTACACTGTTTACTGAGACTCTGAATCTCACTCTGCTTATCATTATTTCAGTACAGAGGATACCACTGAGGAATAGTGGATAGCACAGGAAGGAATATTTTGACATTAGGCTCTGAAAGTAAACAAAATTTGAAGTTACTGTTAATTATTTTAGAGCCTCGTAATGATCGTACATAATTGTAAATACTCAAATGATGTAAAATGCTGTTGTGTTTTGTATAATTAATAACATTTTGATGTTCATGAGTATAGAAGTTGTCTGATTAAAGGAATTCATTTATGTATGTCAAAGAAGCATGCAATTGATCTTTTTACAGAGGCCAGAATGTTAAGATCAAAGCCCTCAAAAGTACCTTTTGGTCAAAACATGAAATTGTCAAAGAATAAAGGAGAAATGCTAAAAGATCCTATGACTTACATGAGGCTATTACGAAAGCTGATGTACCTGACTCTTCCAAGACCTACCTTGTCGTATTCAGTCTAACAACTAAGTCAGTAAATGGAGAAACCGAGGGACAGACATATGCAAACAGCTTACAAGATACTCAGGTATACAGAAGGAAGTGTAAGACAAGGTCTATGTAACAGCCCCGAAAATTCATAATGAAATGTATATTAAAAATATCAAATGCGGAAGCGAAGTCAAAATTTGAATAACATCCCTTACACTAAAACCAAAAACGTGCTCACAAAATATAAAAGATCAAACTACCTAAAGGAGAAACTTGAAAGTAAAAGCTACGAATGTGACTATGAAGTCTTTAGGCGTCCCCTTCGTCGTCCTCCTGCGGAACCGGCTCGGGAACGATGTCCTCTTGATCTGAAATGATTAAATAAGGAATGAGCTACACTAGCCCAGTAAAGACATCACGATATCTCACCGTCACGGAGGTAAAGGTGGGTAGAAAATACAAAAAGACCAATGGAGCATAATTTACAACAAATCCTTTTATCGATAATAAAACCTTTACCATTCACTTATCTCGGTGAAATTTATAAAACAATATACGAAAGCAATAACATCATCATCATCATGAAACCATATATATAAACTGTATAACATAATACCTATTAAGCTTTTCGTAATTCAATCGTTACACAACATAGTTTCCTCATTTACCAGCCCACTAGTATCCATGGGGATCCATAGAGGTCCCGTTACCCGTTAACCCTTAACACTTGAAATCATACTCCAGGGCCGTCCCCATACCCCGTCCGATATGGGCGCCAAACCATAGACCTCATTACCCCGTCCGGTATGAGGGTGAAACGGGTCGTCCCCATACCCCGTCCGGTATGGGCGCCAAAACACATAAGATCTCCATACCCCGTCCGGTATGAGAAACCATAATCCCGGTAGGGTTCCCTACGGACCCGGTCCGTCCACCATCTCCCAGGATATCTAGTCAAGCTGACCACATTATACAATTACCCATTTACATAATCTATCATTCTCTTTTCCCTCAGTCAGCATCATCAATCCACATACAAACAAGCAAAACAGTAATTTATGCCAAA